ATTAAGAACATTACTACTCATACAAATAATATTGCTAATAACAATAATGACAATAAAACAGCAGCAGCAGCAGATACATGACTTCTCTCCAAGTTAAGTCCGGTCTGAACGCACCATAACATTGTACTGTCGCAGCGTCCTCGTGTAAACAGCACCTTAAAGAATTGTGATATTTTGTACTGTAGACCCTTATTACATTAGCCTGGTCTTACCACACTATTGTACTAATTTCATTTTGTACTAACGTCTGGATTAGCTCCATTGAGCTCCGTTAATTTCATTTGCCACTAACGGAGCCCGTAGGGAGTAGAGCCACAACGTTTTTGCCAGGAATGACATTTTCTAAACATTCCTCTAGCTCCGGCTTCAATTTCTTGATATTTGGGAGCCAAAACAGAATGGATTACTTTACTATTGCTTTCGCCGCCATTGCTACAAAACCTGCCTCCCTCGCTCGCTGAAAGGTTAGTAACTCAAGTGATGACGTCTCTGTTCTTATGCACAAATCATATAAAAAGCCTTATCTCTTTTTTCTTCGATCTGCAGGGACTCAAAAATACCCACAACACCCTTTTTTAATTTGGCATGTTATGTTTTAGTTAGAGTCTTGTATTTGACAGCCGAAATGCTCAGATCTAATTTGGAGAACACTGTTTATGCAAAACGGAGAGTTCCCAGACTGGATGTTTTGTGAGTGGGCAGCGGTGGAAACGTTTGAGCGGAACATCTCTGACTTAATTTTGGATTATTGATGAGAGATTACCATTGAAACAAAAAGCTAAAAGTCAACTTTACATAACAAGCATACTTTAACTTCTGCTTTACAACTCATACAACAAGTACATTTGTACATCCTTGAATACATATACTGACGTCAATCCCTGTATTTCTAGGATAAAAGTTCTCGTTTTCATTTTCAAAGAACGGGAAAAAAACGTCTGCATTGAACGACTAGATTTGACTTCGTGAATCCACTGAATGGTAACAATCTGCTTTTGATAAACTTAATTGAATATGTGTGAGTATAGATCAGTACCATAGTGTAAAATATGGACAATAAATGACCCATTCTCCCCATTCAAACTAATAGACAACCACCGCGGATGTGTCATGGTCCCTCCTGCGGAAAAATTGAGAAGAAGAAAAACAACTCTTCCCCTGCTATGCGCCTGAAGTAGTATAAATCGTTGGAACTGCTGTTGTTGTGAGCCCTGCATGATACGTGTGGCACAAAATGACAGCCATATGCACAAACTTCCAGTAAAAAAACCATACCTCACTCTCATTAGCGTACGCCTGGGTTACTCAGCATTGCTCTGAAGCCAGTTATAAGAAATAGGTTGTGTTTCAATTTGTACTTTTCCACTACCTTTTTTTTTTGTATAGTTTTGAACTGGATCATATTTGAACATTGTTTTAAATCACCTGATAATCCTACCATTCCAACCCGTGATTGGACAGCCATCTGCCCCCTCTGGTCATGTGGGCTGCGTAAACACACATTCATATCATTATCTGCATTGTTCATCTTGCGCATGTTGCTCTTAGACATTGGAGGCTTCAGGGCTTTAAGCTGTGAAGGAGCACGTCCACAAAATCAATAATGAATTCTTGAATTAATACTAAATATCCAAATCTATAAAAGATGCTGCATTTCCTTGGATATAGAGTAAACCTGAGGGACTGTTTATGCAATTTAACCTGAAAAATGAAGGAGCTGGTGCGTCAAATCTTGAATAATAGTAATGTTTCGAAACAGAAAGGTGAAGATATAACAAATATTCTTACGAACTGATCTTGGATAATTGCAGACAATAAAATCAATTGTTTTGGCCAACAAACTGCAGAAATGTTGTGTAGTGTAATGAGCGGACTTGGAAGTAGTGTATGACTAATTATTTTTGTTTCATGAATAATACATATTGTTTGTCTTATGGAATAAAAAAACTATTTTAAGTGTGAAAAGTATTATCTCATACAAGCAATCGCTCTTGTTGTTTACTTCGGGCTTTTGGGCACGTGCAAAGTGCATGTGAAGCTTGATCAAAAATACATACATTAGAACACTAGCAATAAAACCAAACTGTTTTGAGAGCGAGGAATGAGTGAGATGTTAGCTCTCCCAGCTTTACTGCCATATTGTTAACAATAATAATAACACATAATAATCATCCTGGGTTTGATTCCACCTAAAGATGGGGGCTTTTTGTGTGGAGTTTGCATGTTCTCCCCCTGTCTGCGTAGGTTTCCTCCAGATGCTCCTGTTGTGGTGTACGTTGTCTGCGCCTTCATTAGATCTACTTCTTGTTGTGTGATCACCCGCCCTTCCCTCACCTGTGTCACCTGTCTCCTTGGTCCTGTGTTTATAAACCCTGTTCCATTACTGACAATACGACAACTCTTTTACTTCATGTCTTCATCCCATATACAATAAAAACATGAAAAGTTAAAATAAAGTATTTTATATGCAAGAAATATTAGTGACAGGTACAATAGCAATCTGTAACATTCTCCTGGACTCCTCTGAAATCTGAAATGGGACTTTTTGGTTTAAACAAAGGTCAATAATAATGATTAATAAAATATAGTCAGATTATATTTTATTATATTTGTGTAGTGCATCTCAGCCAATATAATTTTTTAAAACACAAGTACATTCTTCTTTTTGCTTTGAAAATCAACCTGTTATGAAACGGGCAGCTCTAGGTTTAGTGAAAGTGAATTTAAACACATTTTAAAAGAGATTTCCAATGCCAATAGTTCCAATTCTATCCCCCAAAGCTACATCCAAATATCTGACCTGGAAAGAATGGGAAGCCAGTAAATTCTTTTTTTGTAAATTGTTGCCAATGAACTCAGTGTCTTTTTGTCAATGTCAATGAGTTTCTACTTGTGCACCTTTTTGTTGTGGAGCCCATAGTGAGAATGTCCTCAGGGAAATACAAAGGGAGCGATGGCAAATCATTAGAAAATCCACTTGTTGCATATGAGACACAGTGACCTCCAAATCAAATGGACAATAATTACGTCGTACTGAAAAACAGACCACTTTTATACATTAAATAATTGCACATTAAGTCACAGCACAGCCCCATTACCTGGTTTAAATCAATAAAGCTTCTCCCGCAGATGAGGAGGAGACAATTAGTGGATATGGACACTATAGGAGATAATAGACAGAGCACATTTGGTGTAATAGAGCAAAACTGTCCACAATTATGATTTTTGCGCCTCTGCTCACCTCTCATTCCCTTTCCACTTCAAAACACACAACTTTATCCATTCTGTCTTTGCAGCACTATTCCTGACAATTTCTTTGTTTTTCACAACATTAGTAGCAGTTTTGTGTTTTGTTTGCATTGTTAATAAAGTATACTGCATATATTATATATTCAATTTCAATTTATTTATGTATTGCCCTAAATCAGGGGTGTCAAACTAATTTTGGTCGTGGGCCCAGTTTAAAAACACAAGAGCGGATTGAGGCCAAAAGTATAAAAGTGGTTTAATTTATTATCTTTGTTCTTTTTTACATTTGTATCTTTGTATTTTAACCGATTATTTTCATTTGACACAAGTTTGGATTTTATATTTTGGATAGTATGGATTCAATCACAATCGGGACAAATATCAACAGAAAGATGAAATTGAAGATTAATTGTCAAATATCCATCCATCTTCTACCCTTTAATCCATTTCTGGGTCAGGGGGGTGGCAATCAGAGATGCCACCCAAGTCTCATAGCACCAGCCCCTCACTGACCCTCTGCAGGTGGTGAGTCCACAGGAGGACGGCTGCTCTCTGAGTGTGAGCATAGCCTTGATCTTTCAGTGGGGGCTTTGGGCAAAGTGGGGTTAAGTGTCTTGCCCAAGGACACAACGACAGCAGTCATCAGTGGGAGTCGGTGGAGAAGGTGCAGAGGTGGGAATTGTCAAATATAAAAATATATATATATATACATTTGCCTTATCTCCTAATTACATGTTACTGTAATTATGATAGACAAGGCAAGGCAAGTTTATTTGTATAGCACAATTCATACACAAGGCAACTCAAAGTGCTGAACAAAACAAAATAGCATCCATCCATCCATCCATTCATAAATGTAAATAGATGTCTGTAAGTGTTGTTAAAGGTCCTGTCGATACACTGCACACCTGTGGTCAAACTGCAAAAGAGAAAACATTTGGAAAATGTGTGAATTTTACTGAAAAGGCCCAGATGGGAAAGTGGAATCCATTTGTTTGTGTCAATCATTATCAAAACTTGTCAGGCAGCCTTGTGTTCTGATGATTTATCCGTCGGCAGAATATTTAAGTATAACGCCGACAAACATCAAATTCAGCCAGTTCTGAACCAATCCGTAGAGACATTGGTTTGAGGTGTTTGCTCAAAGAAGTGAGGTTTGTTTGTTTATTTATGTGATGACTTTATACTTGAACCTGGACAGGTCTGTACCTAACTTTTTCTTCCATAAATAACACATGTTGTTTTGTCTCAACAGAAAGAAAAAGACCACACCATGCATTTCATATTAGAAACAAGGTTATCGTTTGCAAAAGACAGAGCCCTGTGAGTCACAATTAGACAGTTTTGACTGAGAGCTGATTGGCTGAGTAAGGGCTTCTTGTCACTTCTCTGTCTCTAAAGATCTACAGATGTATCAGAAGAAACATAGACATTTGAAAACTATAGAGATCCAACTATAGAGAGAACCAAGGCCTTCACTAGAATACATGTCAGGATGTGAGTGCAGGGTAGATGCGGTTTTAGATCATTGCATGTTTTGTTTACATTTTCTTTTGCATGTTGCATGTGTTTAGTGCATGTTTTGCTTTTATCAACATTTTGAGTGTACCCCTGCACAAATGGACTGCTCCGCATTTTTAACCAATCAGAAACTTTCCCCAGTGGTGTGGTGTGACGGAATGATTGTTAAGAGGCAAGGCCAGGAAGCAGAGTCAGTGTCACCGGTGCGCGTGTGGACCGTGGACACTGGATTAGACTGACACCAGACCCCCCAGCACCAGCGGGGAACAAAAGGTTGACAGAGCGCTGTGCAGTGGAGCCGTGCAGTGGAGCCGTGCAGTGGGGCCGTGCAGTGGAGCCGTGCAGTGGAGCCGTGCAGTGGAGCCGTGCAGTGGGGCCGTGCAGTGGAGCCGTGCAGTGGGGCCGTGCAGTGGAGCCGTGCAGTGGGGCCGTGCAGTGGGGCCGTGCAGTGGAGCCGTGCAGAGGGGCCGTGCAGTGGAGCCGGCTGATACGCCTGAAAAACAGCTAAGTGAAGGGACGTCTGCACGTGGGCTTCTGCATCGCAGAACTTGCTGATTTTTAACTATTTGTGCATACACCAATTTTAGCCCTCTCCCCGCAGCTCCCTGGACTGGTGGAGGTGACGGAACTTTTAACATGGCTATCGGCATCGGACCTTTCCTTTCTTTTTAGATACATTTTATAACTGACTTTTATCTTTTTCCTTCAACTGGTACAAAATAAAACTGATCATTTTTCCTATTTTGTGAGTTGTGTTGTATGGCCCGAGCTTGATTTTATACAGTTGCTATTAAACTGTGACATTTAATTGGCGTTGCTGAGCAGCTGGCCCTTTCCATACAACATAAACATGCAGGAAAATAACATAAATGCAGGGGACAATCAAGCTGTTAATACAATGGTTATGCCGTGGTTCATGGGAGTGCCGTGGGTGCCCAAGTTTTCAGGTGTAGGCGATCAAGTAACGTTTGGTGAATGGTTGTGGCAAATTGAAGCTATGCTTAGAGCGCAAGGCCTCAGTGAACAGCAAAAAGCAGATTTTGTCATTGGTGCATTAGAGGGCAGTCCACGCAGAGAAGTTTTATTACTAGAACCCAACTTTCGGACCAACGCCATGCACATTTTAGAGCATTTAAAAAAACTGTATGGGAAACAGGTCTCGTTAGCACAGCTGAGAGCCCAATTTTTCAAGTGCCAACAACAGCAAGAGGAAAGTGTAGGGTGTTTCATTTTACGTCTTCGTGAGCTCTTTAATAGGTGGAAGGACAAGGAACCAAATGGCAGCGCACAAAATGAAACCGTAGCGCGTGACCAATTGATTATGGGCTTGAAGACTGGACCTATTCAGCAGGAGCTCCAACGACTGGTGCGAAGGGAGACAGACCTGAGCTTCCATAATATCTGTGAAGAAGCCCGGGCCCTTGAAGGCGACCACACCTTTACTGAGCAAGCTTGGACTTCAAGGGTAAATGCACCAACACCCACCCTCAAATCTGACACTTATGATTGGAAAGAACAATTTAAGGCTGATATACGCCAAGAAATGCAGGAGCAACTTACAACCTTAGGTCGTACCCTGATAGACGAGTTTAGACAGCAGTTACTGCCCACATCAACTTATTCACGACCACGTGGTGCATTTAGGAGACGGCCCCCGGCTCATAACACGCACTTTCAGTGGGACGATCAAGGCAGACCAATTTGTACACTGTGTAAACAAGCTGGTCACATTCAGAGACTTTGTCCAACCATAAGCCAGCCCCCAAATACTTTAAACTAGAACCCCCAGCGACCGTAGGGCAGGTAGCTGGGGAAAAGGCACCAGAGACTCTCAAAGACAAAATAGTTGGCTCATGCCCAGGAGTGGAAGTAGTGGCTTCAGGAGTTAAAATTCCCTGCATTTTGGACACTGGCTCTCAAGTGACTCTTTTTTCAGAGACATTTTTTCATAAGTGGTTCAAAAATGTTCCCCTAAGAAATACACAAGCGCTAAAATGGCTGACACTCAAGGCAGCAAATGGACTACAAATACCATATGTGGGTTATGTTGAACTGGACTTTGAAGTTGCTGGTGTTCAAGTATTAGACAAAGGTGCAATCATAGTGAAAGACTCTTGTTTGGGGGCAGACAAAGCTATTCTTGGGATGAATGTAATTTTTAGTTGTTGGGAGACCATTTTTCAAGGATGCTTTTCCCTTGCCTAGAATTGAGGAGTCGCTCACATGCCTTAAACAAGCGGGTTGGTACTCCACCCTTGATTTGGCTAGTGGTTATTGGCAAGTGGAGATGGACCCAAACGACCGGGGGAAGACTGCCTTTACCACTCCACTAGGCCTATACGAATTCGACAGGATGCCGTTCGGCCTCTGTAATGCCCCAGCCACATTTCAGAGGCTGATGACCAGATGTTTAGGAGGCCTTGTGAATGACTATCTCCTAATCTATCTCGATGATGTAATAATATTTTCCCCTGACTTTGACTCTCATCTCTCTCACCTAGAACAGGTGTTTCAGCGTCTGTCAAAGCATGGACTTAAACTTCAACCATAAAAATGTCATTTCTTTCAACAAGAAGTGAAATATTTGGGCCATTTAGTGAGCAAAGATGGGGTAGCAACCGATCCAGACAAGACGAAGGTGGTCCAGCAGTGGAAGCCCCCAGAAACTGTAAAAGAGGTTAGATCTTTCTTGGGTTTTGTTGGCTACTACAGACGTTTTATCCCCACTTTTGCCAAAATTGCAGCACCATTACACTCCCTATTAAAAGGTAGTGCTGCCCTAAATAAAAACCAAAAAGTCACATGGTCCCCAGAGAGCCAAAGAGCTTTTGAAAAACTTAAAGCTTCTCTTTTAAGTGCCCCAGTGCTTGCTTATGCTGACTTTTCTATACCCTTCCATCTCTACACAGATGCAAGCTTGGAGGGGTTGGGCGCAGTTCTGGCCCAGGTGCAAGATGGCCGCGAGAGAGTTATCGCGTATGCAAGTCGGAGCTTACACCCAGCAGAAAAGAATGACCAAAATTACAGTTCCTTTAAGCTGGAACTTTTGGCATTAAAGTGGGCTGTGACTGATAAATTCAAAGATTATTTGTTGGGAGCCAACTTTGTAGCCTACACAGGCAATAACCCTCTAGTGCATTTGAACACAGCCCACTTGGGAGCCGTAGAGCAAAGATGGGTAGCCAAATTGTCAAATTACCAGTTCACCATCAAATACAGACCCGGTGTGGAAAATAAGAATGCAGACATTTTGTCTAGGCTCCCACATAACACTGGATCCCAAGCTAATGACCACATTGATGTTATGGCCACAGATGCGGACGATTCCAGAAACTGGTGTGAGGACCAACAAAAGGACGAAGGCCTGAGAACATTCTGCCAGTGGATTCTGCAAGGCAGCAGACCAACAAAGGAGGCGAGGGTCGAAGCACCACCAATGGCCCGAAGCCTCCCGAGACATTGGGACAAACTTGAAATACATCAGGGTGTCCTGCGACGCGCCGTGAAGGACTCCCTGACGGGTGATACATTCTATCAGACTGTGATCCCTTCGTCTTGCCAACATCCATTATGGGATACGTATCACTCATCCTGTGGACACATGGGAGCAAACCGGATGGAGTCTGCACTAAGGCGATCCTTTTTCTGGCCACACATGGGGGAGGACATACGCAAGTGGACAACACAGTGCGCCACCTGTTGTGAGACTAAAACCAGGTCGGAGGTAAGAGCCCCCCTCCAGCCTATACAGTCCTCCTACCCCCTTGAAATTGTCGCCATAGACTTTTTGTCCTTAGGGAATCCTCAAGGCCCGTACCCGTATGTTTTAGTGATGACTGACCTATTCTCAAGATTTGGGTGGGCAGTGCCAACCAAGGACCAAACTGCCAACACTACAGCTCAAGCACTCTGGCGACATGTAATTCAGATATGGGGCTGTCCAGAGAAAATACTATCTGACAGAGGATCAGCGTTTGAATCTCATGTGCTTCACAAACTTTGTCAGCTGTATGAATGCAAAAAAGTGCGCACCACTCCTTATCACCCTCAAGGTAATGGGGCCTGTGAACGCTTTAACCAGACTCTCTTATCCTTGCTTGGTTCGTTGAGCGATGAAGAAAAGGCTAGATGGGCAGATAACTTGCCGGCTCTGCTTTTTGCATACAACAACACTTCACATAGCGTCACTGGCCTCACCCCCCATTTTGTTTTGACAGGACGTCATGCTCGGCTGCCAGTGGAAATTGCAACAGGAGCCCCATCTGACTTGCAGAGTTACCACATGCATGACTGGGTGGCCCACCATCATCACACATTGACCAAAGCCTACAAACACGTATTGACCCGAAGTAAGGCACAACAACAAAAGGACAAGCAGAGGTATGACAAAACGGCACATAATTTACCCCTACTTCCAGGAGATAGAGTGCTGCTTAAAAACTTTCGCAGACATGATCAAAATAAATTGGCTCCTCGCTGGCAACGGTCACCATTCGTAATAGTCGGCCAGGTTGACCCGGACTCTCCTGTGTATGAGATTCGACCTGAAGGACAAACCGGGCCAATAAAGACAATGCACCGCAACAACCTGAGGCCCTGTCCCATAGGGATCTGTGAAGACCCGCCGACTGAGCCCACTCGTACAACGACCCTGCAACGACCAAATGCCCCGCCACTATTTTTACCTGTGATGTTGCCTCTTACAGAACCACAGCCGGCTCAAGGACAAGCTGTAGCTGAGAATGAACAGGCGCCAGACCCACCAGTACCAGGGCCCCCCCAAGAAGTAGCAGTGCTGAGACGTTCACAGCGTAGCAACTTGGGTAACCCACCTGATAGGTACAGGGAATAGATAAGATAGTCGGGGACGACTACCTAAAAACTGGGGAGGAATGTCAGGATGTGAGTGCAGGGTAGATGCGGTTTTAGATCATTGCATGTTTTGTTTACATTTTCTTTTGCATGTTGCATGTGTTTAGTGCATGTTTTGCTTTTATCAACATTTTGAGTGTACCCCTGCACAAATGGACTGCTCCGCATTTTTAACCAATCAGAAACTTTCCCCAGTGGTGTGGTGTGACGGAATGATTGTTAAGAGGCAAGGCCAGGAAGCAGAGTCAGTGTCACCGGTGCGCGTGTGGACCGTGGACACTGGATTAGACTGACACCAGACCCCCCCAGCACCAGTGGGGAACAAAAGGTTGACAGAGCGCTGTGCAGTGGAGCCGTGCAGTGGAGCCGTGCAGTGGGGCCGTGCAGTGGAGCCGTGCAGTGGAGCCGTGCAGTGGGGCCGTGCAGTGGAGCCGTGCAGTGGAGCCGTGCAGTGGGGCCGTGCAGTGGGGCCGTGCAGTGGAGCCGTGCAGAGGGGCCGTGCAGTGGAGCCGGCTGATACGCCTGAAAAACAGCTAAGTGAAGGGACGTCTGCACGTGGGCTTCTGCATCGCAGAACTTGCTGATTTTTAACTATTTGTGCATACACCAATTTTAGCCCTCTCCCCGCAGCTCCCTGGACTGGTGGAGGTGACGGAACTTTTAACATGGCTATCGGCATCGGACCTTTCCTTTCTTTTTAGATACATTTTATAACTGACTTTTATCTTTTTCCTTCAACTGGTACAAAATAAAACTGATCATTTTTCCTATTTTGTGAGTTGTGTTGTATGGCCCGGGCTTGATTTTATACAGTTGCTATTAAACTGTGACATACACAGTACCTTAAACTTGCTTCTTACTCTGCAAAGATAGAGAAGAGATTTTATACTTGTTTCTTCTTCAAGCGAGAGTTAGAGATTTTTTATTTTATTTTATTTAGTATAGAGTTATTATTGATCTTGTGCTGTGTGCTTCTCATTCCTACTGTACTTCTGTAACTAGTGATGGAACGCTGACATTTCTCAACCATGGGACGAATAAAGGATTTCTTCATCTTTAGACAGCGAGGAGCGATTTGATGATTTGGATTACATTTATGTGGCATCCCAGCTTAAATGCATTCACCTACTACACAATCAATAGGTGAGGGATGTACCTGTAATCCTACTTGACAATAGCTGCCTGACCTCCATGGACTTGGTGTTAGCGCTGGGTGTGGACAGGAGCAGCAGAGAGCAGTGTGTGAACTGAGGAAGAGGGCGCACGTGAGGAACTGTCCGGAACATACCATTCCCAGTGTCCTGTGGAGAGTGCCAAGAACCAGGCTCTAAATCCCCCTCAGTGTGGGACAGAACACATGCAACTCACAACACACTCTTCCCAGCGCCTATGGAAACTATGAGGCCATGCTGACCATAAAACAGACATCATCCATCACTTGGCCCTGCCGTTTATCTTATTTCATTCAAACAGCAGTGATTAGTGTCTGCTACTACATCTGCATGTTGTTTAACTCATTGACTGCCATTGACGTATTTGTCTGAGACCGGTGATTTCTGTCAATGTTTCATGTCCGCATTGTTTGTTAATACTAAACTCAAAAGTTTGTAAAAAGTACATCTAAAAGTGTGTTGGGACTTACCTTATAAATCAACTGCACAGACCACTTCAGTTCAGACCAGTTTCATGTTTAAGTCCAGATAATAGTTTGAGCGCAGATATGTAATCCTCCATTGGAAATAAGTCCAATGATTTTTAAAAAGTAAAACAAAACGGGTGTCTCCTCCATAAACTCCTGTGTTTTGTTGCAGCCGAATCTTGTGTGCATCCGATTTCTGAAATCAACCTTCTTGATTTCACCTCTCTTCCTCATCATTCCTATAATCATTAGAACATTACCCTAAGTGCATTTTAGATCATCTTAAAATGTGTTATAGGTATGTTAGCCAAACCTGTAGCGGCGATTTTAAGGTAAAAATAAATGAAATAAGGCAAAGTTACATGAACATAATACAATAACATAAATCACTTGATATAATGACCAAGTCTTATTGTTTCCATTTTATTATTTTTTCTTTCCATGATCGTAGGTGAGGCCGGCCCTCACCTGCCTCATCTGACCGCATGTCACTGGTCACAGCACATAATATTCTGTGGGTCTTGAGAATCAGTGAAATCATCAAAAACGGCTGGCATCAATGATAACCAGACGTACACTCAGTCAAACTCATATGTTAAAGCTGGGGTACGTAACATTCCAACATGTACTGTAACTCTTAACTTGCTATTGTAACACTAATTAACTGCTAACCGGGAAGATCATTGGTTTTGTAGTGGTGGGCAATTTATCGATATTTACGATAAGTCGAGATATCCTTTTAATTCAATATGAATTTTGACATATCAAATGTATCGATATATTGTTTATATTTCCCTTTGGTTTGGTTTGCCTTCTCTGTGCTGTGCTGGACCCCGCCTCTTTGCTTTTGCCCAGTGGCGGTCTGTGCATTTCAGACCTGCGCCTGCAGTGATGTCTGAACCAGCGATCTCTAACTCTTTTAGTGCCACAGACCCCCCCTCCCCACAGCAGTGTGCCTCCTGTGTTAAAATGACAGGAGGCACATCGCTGTAGTTTGTGCACACCCCTGACGCACACAAGTGCCACTTTTTCCTTCTTCTTTCCATCTATAGGTCTTTTCATATTACAGATATCCAGAGACAAAATCAGGTGTGGGGACAGGAATTGTGAAAGCTCTGCAGGTTTTTTGGACCCGTGACGGGAACGTGACAAAATGTAAATACCTTAACTTTTAAAATTATTTTTCTAAAGTCAAGCACCCAGGATCAGAGGGAATAGCATTAAAATGTACTACGGCAAGTTTATTATCCACATGATAAAGATTGAAACAAGCGGCCTAGAAATTTTGGTTGAATACCCTGGGTTTTTGATCAGTGTGATAAGCCTGTTTTCTGCTTGTCCGGAGCAGTGGGCGGGCCATACTGTGCAGAGGCAAATTAGCATCTCACAAACCACTATTGGTCACAATATGTAAAGGTCCAGGGGAGGCAGTACTGGTCACACTCCACACCAGTGAGATGGGTCTGAAACTAATCCATGCATTCATTTATTTAAAGCAATAAAGAACAGATAAAAACATACAAAATGATTATGACTATAATTCAACACTGGAGGAATACACCAAACAGCTTTGGCGTGTAAGCTGTCAAATCCCCCACAGCCACAGAAATGTCAGGCTGTAGTGTATAAATATGTTTGTAGAGAGAACGTGCATGTGATAAACAGCAGTCGGCACGGGCTGTCACACAGTTGACAGCCCACAACACTGCACTGACCGACATAGCACATGGAGCATGACACGGGGAGGAGAAATTACATACAAAAATTATCCTTAAGAAACAAACGCAGTGAGTGCAACAACAACATACTCAACAATAATTTACCACTGTTCCAGATGTGAAGAAAGTTCTATTGATCTCTCCCCATGCAGTTGTATCAGTCAAAACCTCTCCAGCTGTGAATACATACTTTCTCTTTGTCCACTGGATTATTAAACATTGGAAGAATCTAAAGCCGGCTGTATACTACAAAAGTCATGATTAGACTACGAACAGAAGGATATTCTATAAATCTACTACATGGACCTTTTATCAGCTGTTGTTTAAGTTGTAAAAATAATGAGGTAAGAAAACGTTGCCGTTGCATATGGTATGTAGCTGCAGGCCTTGTGAGGGGTTCAGGCTTTTAAAGAGCCAGGAAATGTTTGATTGTGAGGCAAAGCAACTTCAAGAGACGAGCACATGTGCCTCGACATCATCTCGCTGCGGTTTTTTTCCAGTGAGTCTTCATGTGGTGTAGTTTTGTTGTTTGGAGCAGTATAAGACTTTATGGAGAGTGTGGCTCCTGTGCAGATACCTGTTGCACACACACATACACACACACACACACACATACACGTTTTTGTTACCTGGTGGGTCCCTTTGACAGGGCCGTTCAGAATGGGACCCATAGACATAATCTTTTTTTACCAAGACTTTAAGTAATACAAAACAGTCAATAGAAACCAAACAACTATTTTAAAGGAATTTTATTTTAGATTTTGTTTTCGAATTGCAGTGATTCTATTTTTGACATAGAATTTAATGCCACTCCATGTCCGATGTCTAAGGTCATCTGGTGAGGCATTAATGCAGGCCAGGCAGTGAGACTTCCCAGGGACCTTTCCAGTCTGTATGAAAGGTGTCATGGTCTTCTCCACAGCCTTCACCTCAGATGCAGACCATGGCTTTCTTACACGTTCTAGGGAGAGAAATAAAAATATATTAGCAATATACACTCCCAGGGTGAGGACCAAGCAGCCTGGCTGTAATCCCCCACCTGGTACACTTACCAGAAGGGGCACTGCCACTACCATGGGGTGCATCTGGATGAATGGTTGAAGGTTCTCCGCTTGAAGTTTCTTTTAGCCCGTCCGTTTGTGAGAGGATCTCTACTGCTCTCCCTGTCGCACAGAAAATAAAAATACAAGTGGCCTTTAGGGGAAAAAAATCATACATATTTTAATAATATCAAGAATTACCTTCAGGCTCAATTTGTATCTGGTCGAGGCTCTTTCCTTCGAATTCCGTCACTCTTCCCTGCTCCATGGCCATCAACACTTTGCTGATTTTGGCCAGCTCCAGTGTCCCCTCTGGTAGTCTGTAATATTGCCTGTGGATGCGAATGTCATGGCCGAGGAAGTTGGCAAGTATGTCCATCTCATTCTCTTTCATATCGAGAACTGTAGACATAGTAGCTATGTGCTTTCTAAGTTTGGTTGAGGATAGCATCTCTGGATGCACCGCACCACATTCTTTGGCTACCTGGCGTAGGGAGTCTGATCCCCTGATGTGGGTGTCTGCGCCCGGGCGGGAAAAGAAGTATGGGTTATGGTCAGAGATGGAACAGGCCCTTCTGTTCTCCACCAGCACCTCCATCGAAGCAATCATTTCAGGAGTCAAAAGAACCGGCACTTTCCGACTTCTTTTCCCTTTAATTTCAATGCGTTGAAAATGCTGACACAGCTTTTTCTCAAGTTGGGACAGTCCCAGAGCAATGTCAGAATGGATCCCAGTCTTACTTCTTAAGGTAAAGGCTGTCAGTGGCATCTTTGAAACCTCACCTTCCCTTCTTCGATTGAAAATGATGACCTCACAAAGAGTCAAAACTGCCAGTTTAGACCAATGCTTAGACGTTGGCTCACTTATTAGGGTTTGCACATATTCAGGTCGACATACCTCAATATGTGCATGCATGGCTCTAACGTCCTCAGTCAGAGGGAGCAGGTCCGGAGTGTTCCACTTGGCTTGCCGGAGGGTCTGTAGGGCAGCAGAAGAAACACAGACGTCCCACCTCTTCTCAAAAAGCAGCCGGCTTCGTTGGAGGTTTTTAATAAATAGTTCATCAACACAATGCTCCATTTTTGAGTCACATTCAAGAATATCTGCTAGCTTTCTGAGGCTATGGCCGAGTTTGAGGGCCAAGGATGGAGTCTTGTATTGATTTGTTTCCTCATCATATCCAGCCACAGACCTGACTGCATCAATCACATGGTTAAAGTTGGAAGGAATAAAGAAATCCTTAATTGTTTTCAGTTTCCCTGCGGTTTTTGCTTCGTTAATTAACCTACCGACTTCTCTCATTTTCTGCCTAATGTAATCATGCTTTGTCTTATCATGCCCGTGTTTTAAGTACAGGTGCTCTCCGAGTCTCAGAATCCCCTTTTCTGCTTTGACAACACCCGTGACCTCATCCTGATGCATTGCCGAAATTAAAGACCACAGCTTTTTGCTGATGCCCTCCGGTACAGGCTGGGCTAGGGAGCAGAGGGACTGGACCCTACTTCTACCTGGTTTAGCCTGGGCATCTTTCTGTGAAAGCCGGCACCTGGCCACATGCCTCCACAGCGACTTTCGCTTAAGCAATGCCCCACAGTCTATACAGTGCAAAAACTCACTGGATTTAACTGGGCAATTTGGCTGTTTAGCTGGGACTAAAGTTCCAATGCCGGCCTTTAAAACCTCAAAATTGTGCTCACGGTTTCCACTATTCCTGATCAAATCAAACTGAAGTTTACGTGCTTTAGATTTTCACAGGTAGAGCCAATGCTCTGGCTACGTCACTTTCATTTCCATGTTTTCTAGTCAAATGACGGGACATTTTGTGGCAGGACATTGAACAGTAGAGGCAGAAGTGTCTCTTGCTGTATACTCGCCCCCCATTTTTCTT